GGTTAAATTAATTCTATTAATGCTGATTGATCTTTGTATAATTTGCATTATTACTCAATTTGATAATTATTATCCTGGTGTAATTGCTTAGGTTAAAATATATTAATGCTGTTAGTAATTATATTATATGGTATAATGTAGGTATCTAAATTACTGTTTTCTGTTTACTGCCAAAACCTACTCCAATACGGTGGTCGGTGATAGGTAAACAAATAATATTAACAGGGAAAGCCGATCTGCTTTTTAGTATGTTTTTAATGTACTCCGTTTTTGAGTAGGTCACTGTATTGAGTGTGTTATAAAATTTGATTCAATAATAAATCATTGCTTAAGATAAAAAACAACGGTCTGTCAGCCTATATTTCAAAGCATATTTCATTATATTATATTAATATTGCAATTAGTAATTTATTTTTCAATTAGAAATACGGTAAATCATGGGACTATATTTATCCAAAAATATATCGCATACCTAAATTATAAAATTGTATCATGTATTTTGTATCATTTTTCATTATTGTTATTAACTTAAATTAAGTTAATAAAAAAAATTAAGTAAATACAGCGTACCGTAAAACAGTGTGAATAAGTTCGTGGTATAAATAACTTAAAATTATTCTAAATATTATGAAAATGTCATTGTGTAGGTATATAAATAGTAATATGCATGATGGCAAAATGCTTGAAACTATACCCTACGGTTAATATTTTTAAAATTATAATATAATAGCTAAAATCGTTTGAGTAGGTATACATCTTTATAATATATTAATATGTTTATATGTTTGAATATGCAATGCCGTTGACATTTCAACTTCAAACGCTCATCAAATATTGATCAATTTTTAACTACAAAACAATATACATATTTTCGTGATTCATCAAAGCCTGAACTTAAAACGCTTTTAAAAAAAGTTGTGACTATGTATTATCGATATTTTTAATTGCTACATCAACTATATTCCAGGAACCTTGTATACTATATTCTCCAAAAAGGGACGACAGGTACAAAAAAATAAAAATTACACATTGTAAAACTAATACATTTATCCCTCCACTTAGAATCTAAAATAATGAAACAAAGAAGTATATTTCCAATCAAATTTATTTTGGACTATATATTGTTGCTAATATTAACTCAATAATTTTCCTTTTTTATTCTGATACCTACCTAGTAACAATTTATAATGACATACTTTATTAAAAATATGAACTATGTGGAAGTTTATAATAACTACGAAATCACTAATTGATTTAATTTAATAAACTGTATACTTTTGTTCGATGTTATGTTAAATATAGTTATAGGTGTGAATAATCAGTATACTTTTGAAATATGTTGTATTCAGTTCAGTTGTAAACTTTAAAAAGATTTACTTATGTTATCCATTAACTACAACTGCATTTCAAGTTCCAATATTACAGTTCATATTCACTGAATACATTATTAAAGTTTTTTAAGTACAACCAAGTTTTATATATTTCAGTCAAAGAATGTTATAAGTATCTAATACCACTCGGTAAACTTATTCTATAAAAATCATAGAAACCAAATGTTGAAAATATTTGTATTTCCTCCCTTAGCTTTTTAATACAAATTTCAAAACGACCTTCATTAATGTGTGCCAAAATCTGGTAAATTCTAAATTACTGTAATGCTGTACATCTTATTTATCGTCAATTTTATATTTAATCTAAATTCTGGGAAAGTCAAAATGTATAATAAAGTCATTATAAAATGTATGGTTTACACCGAAACAAATAAATTAAAAATAACACCATATTGTGCCGGTTTTTTTTATTTGACGCATTCTGAATTGTATTTTAAATAAGATTGTGGTCACCTCTAACTTTTTCTAAAGTTATATAATCACCTTTATGATACACTTGAAACAGTTTTTATTCAACGTAATAGGTAGTATTGATTTTATTTTTATAATAAATATTAATATTTCATAAGCACAAATAAGTCTAATTATATATTTCTATTATGCTGGTATATACCATCCAGTTATACATTAGTTTTACTTTGAAATTAAATTTAAAAAAGTTGAATTACTTTATAAAATAATAAATAACATTTGTTATTTATAAACAAGAATTATTTTTACCATTTTAATTTAAAAATCGATTATTTTTTCTAAATGACCTAAATTGTATATTTGTATCATAATAGTTTCTAACAAAAATATCTTTTTAATATTTTAAGTCAGGAAACATCAAACTTCAATTGAATAGGTATCTACTTATACTTTCATTTAATATGCTGTGTAAGGTTCATAACTTTTTTTAAGCAGTGATATATTTTTAGAATTCAATAATAAGAATCACGTTCAAATCTAGTTTACTAACACGCTTTTCTGAAGGTAACTAATTTTTATAAAAATATTATAAAACTGCTATCTAACTGACACGAGAACAACAATTTACTTTTTATTTTCTATTAAGTGCCCAATAATAAATAACATTAATAAATTGTGAGTATAATATTTTAATCTCACATTCCCAACTTGTAGAACTTATATAACAGTAGACCATATATTATTCAAATAATCAAATGCCACTAATACCAGGAAATAAGGAAATACTACAAACTGCAAACAGCTAACACCGACAGAAGTATTAAACAGAAAACTGATTAAATTTGCAGATAACTAGATTTAAAAAAAATTGTAAAAAAATAATATTTAAAACGTAAATAGTTGTAATTTATTGTAATTTATTGTAAAGTTAACAAATGTTGATGACTTAAAATAAAAGAAAAAAAATGTTATTTAACCATATAAATATATACAATTATATTTTAAGTTGATAAATATTTTACTTACCACTATTTTATTCAATATAGTGATAAATTAGTTTTAACAAAGTTACGTAATTTATCTGTATCTTTTAATAAAGCGTTGCGAAGAAGGTTTTATAAAAAGAAAAAAAAATATTATAACAATATTTTCCAATAATCCAAACGTCTTATTGCCAGATAAAATCAATACATTTGAAAATACCTAGTGGAAGCGAAAAACCTCTTCACTCTGCCTTATCAAAAATATATATGACAATCCTGTCGTAGAAATTATTAATTTTAAAACACCCTACCAACTATTCTGATGAAATTATCAAAAAGTCTAATATATTTTAAAATCTTCTATTTTTGCGGTGGATAATGCTTTTAATACCTCTTAAAAAATAACATTATCCATTCATGCAATTTAATCTAAAGAAATACGGATGGGTGTACTGTACATCACAATATGTGATCAAAAGTAAATCATTGAAAATTATTCCCTATGAATGACTGATTAAAACATGGCCATAATGCTTTTTCATTATATTTTACCATTACCTATTAGCTTCCGGTTTCTTTTTAATTTCATTTTAAAGGGGCTTATTATCTCATAACAAATTCCTTATGAACTGCCCTTACTGAAACAAATCGATGAATATAAAATTCAAACTTGAAGCCACGTGAACGGATGTCATTGCGGTAAGGATTTCTATGAATACGCACGTGCCTACCGGCTACCACTCCGGTAAATCGTCCAACCATGAAATGGCCATAATATCAATACAAAACTACCAGCTACCTATTATACAGACATACAATATACACCACAAGTCTATTTTAAATACTTTTTATTTGTTTAATTTAACCGAACAAAGAACCGAGCTCATTTCATTATAAATATTACCTATGTGGTTATGCGAACGTATATATTATACGCTTAATGCCACTATTTATTTTATTCATTGGTTCTTGTCAATATATTCATTCATTTTCATCTATAATATATTTTCATAAGAGTTGGCACATTTGACAAAAAAACATTTTTTCCTTTGTAGCTATGCGATCTACTCATGAACTAAACAATTAAGACTAGTCTAATTTTTATTTTCAAATAAAAACCCAAAGCTTTTACTTTTACTTAATTATCCTTACAGTATAGATTAATAGTTGTAATAATTCAAAGTTAATTATAAAAACATTTCTATTTTTAGAAAATGTATTATTTTATCATTAAATACATTATTGCAACATTTAAAATCAAAAAATAAGCAACTTAATTTTTTAACATAATAAATGTCTTATGCTAATTTTAAAAACTTAAGTAGATGATTAGCTATAAATTATTCATTATTTAATTTGAAAAAAACATCTTTACGTTTTAAAATGTTTTAAATCTTAAAACGAGTCATTAGAGTTTATTTATACTGAATCAATACGCATAGTGCATGTTGTCTGTAGCATTAAGGCACGTCTGCGCTCCTGAATGTTGGATGAATTCAAAAAACATTGTATTCATAATACAAATTACACAAAGGAAGTCATTCAGTAAAAAATATACTATACCTATATACATTTAGTCAATAAACTTGAAAATATTAAATTATTAAATTGCACAAAAGCAATTTGTCAAAATGTCCATGTCAACCATCAACCAGAGATGTATTTATGGATTATTAGAGTTCTGGTGTCTGTAGGTATAAAGCGGAAATCTTATCCCGAATGATTACCAAAAAAAAAAAAATTAAAATAAAATTCCAACAATATTTTATTTACTCTGTAGGTAGTTAAACCCCTGTATTATGATTCATTTTTCTATGAAAATATTTGTGAATTATTTATTTTTATCATTACTAGCTATTTCGTACAAAGCATTAGAACAATATTATTTTGTTATTTTTATTTTTCATTTTTCTTTATTTGAATATTAAATTAAATTTTAAAGGTTTTATTAATATTGTTGTAATATTACAGTAAAATAATAATTACAGATACTTATTTCTTATAATTATATAATTGTATCTCTAAAGTGATAAAGTGATTAGTGTCATAACTCATAAACATAGAGTTGTTGGTAGATATGGTAAATATCAGGTATACTTATAGTGTTTCAATTATAATACTCAATTTTTAGTTTAGTTGATAAGATAACTTTCTAATGCCTAAAGACAGACTTTATTAGATTAATTTAAAATAAAATATTATTTGTATAACTTACCCGGTTCAATTGAATTCCTTGTTGATTTTAGCTGTGGATCAAAGTGGACACAAGACACCGAGCCTATGCTTCCTCTTGGCGTTCTTCCCAAAGAAGCTGATTCGGCCATTGGTATACTGCTTCTTGCTGACCGACTCATATTATACGCACCTTCTGATACCACACTACCTCGGGGACTTTTCCCAGGGTCTGGTATCAAGCTACCTCTAGGACTCCGATTGGCATCAGGTGTTACTGCCAAACTACCTCGAGGACTTCGATTTAAATCATAAGCAATGCTCCCTCTAGGTGATCGACTTGGGTCTGGCACTAAACTATTTTTTGGACTTCTTGATGGATCTAAGCCAGCAGTACTTGATCTTGGGCTTCGGTTGAAACTCTCCACGTCCAATCGCAGTCCTGATCGTAATTCTGAATAATCATCTTCTGGTACCATACTACCTCTTGGACTTCTTGGGCTTCTTGGATCTGGATGCTCACATGTAAGACTATGCCTAGGACTCCGATTGACATCGACTTCAAGCCGTGAAGGACTAGACCGTGCATATGAGTCTTGTTGTTCGTCTGGTAATAATCGTGGGGGTTTTCGATGATCTGATGGTACCAAACTCGTTCGCGGGCTCCTTGACATATCTGGAACCAAACTATTTCTAGGACTCTTATCAATATACAGTACTTTGGTTTCCGATACAAAACTCGGTCTGGGACTTCGTTTATGAGTATATTCAAAGAACTCCTCCTCTGGCGATACTCTAGTCCTTTGTCGCATTTCAAAGCCATCGGAAGGTGAAGTAGCTGCTATACTAGCTCTTCTATGTTGTCCACCATGTTGTGGGGACTGCTGCGTCTGTTGCCTTCCTCCTTCTGCAAGTCTCGTTGACTGACTTTCCAGATTAAACGCCACGCTGGTTCGACGTGAGTCATTATTGGCGGTACGCCTCTTCCTTGATGATGGAGATCTCTGAAGCATTATGGCATTCAAACCATTAGCAATAAGATGCACAATATGCAACCTAATTTCACATAAACAAACAAAGATCAAGATTAGTATTTCATTATGGTTTAAAAATAAATATAAAATTCGTTTAAAAGGCAGGTAAGTAATGATTTCTAGTTATTTATATTATAACATGGACAATGTGAAAATATTATAATTAAATAATCAATATAAAATTGCATTGTTCTCAAACACTCATACTACATTTTAAATTAAATTCAAATCGAAGGTATTTATTAAAATAATATACTAGGTACCTGATTTGTTAATTCTGTTTTATTTATATTTATTGGTTACAATATTTAAATAAATCATAAGTCAATTTTAACTATTCGTTTATATGATATAATCGCTAACGGTGTAAAAATAAATTACATATAATTTGTACCAAAATCAGTAGGAAAAAGGCAACAACATATAACTAAACTCAATATATGCCGAAAGCGCAAAAAATATAAAACAAATAAATATGATGTGTAGATGATAAATTGATTTTTTTAATCCCTAGTTTTTCAAATATTCAATTCTATTTATTTCTTCCACTATACAATTATTTCATCATGAAGTGTTCTTAATTTTGAATTTGAAGGAGAAGAATAAATAAAGAAACATATTTTGACTTTGTAATTTTAATAAGACATAAATTATTATACATTAATAATGTGAACTGATCAATGAGCAACATGGAATTGGTCGTTTAAATGCAGATGATTCAACTGTATAAACTTTTTTAGTGTTTATAATATTATAAAATCCTAATCTGGAATTCCAGCCCAAATTTCTGAAGGTTGATGTGTCCTAAAATCAATGTGTATCCCTAAAATATAACCACCGGCCATTTCTCTCAAATATCTATATTTTTATTCATCAAATAAAATGCGTAAACCCCCTGAATTTGTAGTTATTTTTGAAAAATTAATTTTTGTATAGATTACGATAAATGCGATTGCTTACTAAGTACATACCAACAGTATAATGTTATAAGTTTAACACTAAAACTATGACGCTCTATCCTAATCAGATAATAAATTTGTACCTGGGATTATTTTGGAGCTTTTAGACGATATGATTTGACTACCACTTTAGTGCTTATGTCTCCCACTGAAACTTACTATTCGTACAAATGACAAAAGACCATCATAATTGGAAAAAAAAATGTTTTTACTTAAGCAATACCTAGCATTAAAAAGTACAATGTTTAATTCCTATGGTTTGAATCTAATATTATAACAAAAAGGTTTATACCTATTTTGAAAACAGCATTAAATAAGCTTTACTTCCAAAATGTAATAATTTATTCATTCATAAATCATAATAGAATAATACAATACTTCTAAGTATAATTATTATTATTTTTATAAATTAATATAATATATTCTTATGATAGTAGGATAATAACTTAAATTTAAATATTTATCAGATTAACATAATACATATCTGGAATGAACTTTTTTTCATATATTTTTACATACATAAGATTTATTTAAAAAAAACTATTTTCAAGGTTCTAAAATATTAAAATTGTTAAAAAAAATTAAATAGGAAACCAATTGCTACTATTATTGTTTAGTCACACTTTCAATCGATTATAATTTGTATCAAGTTGGTAATTCAGATGAGCTTAATTCTTTTCTCTTTAGTACCTACTCCTCCAAATCGTAAGGAAAACTCCAGACACATAAAATTTATTTATGGCATTCTCTTTTATGAAATAGAATTTATACCTATACTCTAAAATATAAATTAAATTGGATTTTTAACAAAATTGTTTTTATAACAAAAGGTCTATGCAGGAAAAATAATTTATTTTTAAACTAACGTTATTGATTGGGATCAGTGTAGTATATGACGGAGTCATTTTTACTTAAATATCATATTTAGATACATAACATACAAAGATCATGAAAATAATGATTTCATAAGCATATCGTAGTAAAAATAACTTCTGATCCAACTACCTATGTTGCTTGTATATTTTTATAACAAGGACTTCGAGAATCCGTTTCCACGAATTCAGCCGAGCACAAAAATACAACAACAACACTGAGTCGGTGGCTTTTCTAAACCCACCTCCTAGTCTTTACCGTTTACTCATAAGCTAGAAAATATTCTGTATAAGTACAGGACTCTTCCACAGTAAAATTTAGAATTAGTCTAACATTACCCAACTGTAGAACTTAGTATGGTCGTTGAGCCTTGTTCTCAACATCGCCGCCATACCTATCTATTATCTAAGTTCATTCATAGTATATTTTTTTGTAACTAACTTCTAGGAATAGATTTTTCACTCTGCCCACAATATTATATAACATTCAATAAAATACTGTCTTATATTATAACTAGTAAGTAAAACTTTCCTTCGTCACGCCTGATCCGTACGTTGACGACATCATCCTTGAAAAACTATTTTTATAAACGATAGTGAGGAATCACTACATCAGGATCTAACATAATAGAAACTTATAAAATTATCTGGATTATTAAACTATAAAGCTTAAAGTTTTATAAACGGCTTATAATTATTTATAACCATATCTATATTAATGCATTTCTATAAAATGAGGTTTTTTTAAGTTTCTTTTTAGTTTCTTTTGATAGTTTAATATTTGTTACCTTAATAAGAAACTTTTAAAATGTTTATTCTAGTATATGAGTCATTTATAAAAATGTTTAGTTAAAAAATTGTCTAAACTCTAATTGTTGACAATGTTGAGTCAAACTCAAATTTATTTTTAACACTGAACCACTCGCTCAATTCAGTAGTAAGTTGGTATGAGGACGTGTTAATTTACACAAAATCAGTGATAATAGTGACAATCAATACCCGTCACAAACAGAAATGACCTGTTTGTCCACTTCAATTATTTTCAAGTTAAAAACAATCATAAAAAACAATAAAATTTAAATAAGTGAGGTGTTAAAAATAATATTGGATGTATGCATTACACATTGGTGTGTATGTATATACATTATACATGATATATGCTTTATTATATATCATGTATTTTTCGTACATTTCACACATCAAAATATTATAACATTTTCATGTATAATATTTTGTTAAATAATTTTTTAGAAACTAAAAAACATTAAACTATACTGCATGTTATTTTTTATGACATAGGTAATATATATCTCGTGGCATTCTAATAATTTAATACAGATACAATAAATACATGAAAACAATATCTTTGCTTAAATTGTTTTGAAATTGAGAGTGGTAAAATACTATTATAGTACTATCAGTACCTAATTGTTAGTTTCGAAATGTCCACTTTATATGCTATTTTCAAAAACTACATAGAAGTAGATAATATCCGATGAGTGTGAAGCAGATAATCTGAAACTTTATAAAATTTAAAATTTAAATTCATCTTTGAGGGTTCATCTTCTCAAGTGTTATTTATTTTTTACCTATATTTTTAATAATTCTTAAATTTTGGTTGTTTTCATACATAAAGTTTAATATTGTTTGTGGTCATAGGCCCTTTTGAATATTTTTTTTTTTAAATTTCCACTGTCCAAAAACCACAATTTATTAATTTAATGTTCAAGCTAATAAAATATTTAATTAAATTAAGATTTTGATTCTTAGGTTGTCTTTAATGAATTGAGTTTAGGTATCTATAGCGAAATCTTTCAACAGTTTGATAAATCTTTATATAATTTATGTATTATTTTAATAGTAGTTTTTTTTTCATTTTTGTAGATGAGTAGCATTGCACCCAAATTGTTAATATAAATCATACCGAAGTCCGAACTACAAATTAAATAATTCATGGCCTACAAATATTACAATCCATTAAAATAAAATTATATTATGTAATCATTAGGTTCTAATGCACTGATAGTATTATAATGCACACAATTGAATGCAGGTATGTCACATTTACACAATTACACATATTAGTAAAAAGACATAAGGTTCAATCAAAAGCTAAATAAATGTGACACTCACGTTAAAGAAACTTTATATATTCTATGCCAAGACAATCACAAACTGAAATTAATAACTTATAAAAAGGTCTCAAATGTTTATTATTAAATTATAACATTAAAATATTACTGGAAACTACTTAATGCTCCACATTATATCTCCAGCCATTCTATACATCAAGACCTCAGGATGAATTCCGTCAAAGACGAAGCAAAACTATATTATAAGCGTTTCCACAGTAGGTTAAGGTTAACCAACTATCCTAACCCTCTTATAAAAAATCTAGCAATCCCGCTAGACGTCTTAAACGTAACTGGTGTCGTGACCTTCTAAATGCATGAATCCTAGAAAATCCCCTTACTAAACTGAAACAAAATAGGTAGTGTCATCAATGGGTGGCTTCTTCCGTCATATTTTTCATGCTTATTACTCTTATCAAGTTTACTTATTGTTCTATGAATAGATTGTAATTATTTTGTAAACATAAAAAAAATAATAAAAATAATACTATCTTGATTTTTGGGTCAAAACCAGTGGATTGTGAGAGTTGTTCAACTTCCAGTTTTAAACAGCTTGAATACCTAGAGTTTGTGTACACATCCCACAGATCCACATGGTTTAAGCAAAAACATTGTCATATTTCTCAAATTCAACGGATTTGTTTACTTAAAAACTGCCAACAGCATAATATGTATTTTATTCAAATAAAAGTTACACTAAACTTGTACCTAGTGTTTAATGTTGTATTTTAAAAACTTAAAATATATTTTGCAAATAAAAACATATATGTGTATAAACTTAACACTTTTTTTATAATATCAATAAAATAAAATTCAACACCCTAAATGAGAAAATAATAATGCAATTAATGAACTAGACAATTATTAGTACCATATTTGTCTCCTTTGTCAAATATAAAATATAAAATAGCTTTAGATCATTATAAACTATGATTAGAATTTTTAAAGACAAATATAAGACAAAGAAAAATTTTTTAATTTCTGTTTTTAAATTAATTTGTATTTAATTTAATTATGACAATTATGTTTTAGCACAAATTGACAAATTATAGATATTAG